TGGGAATATTTTGTTCATGATTATCTTGTGATCATTATTTGGGCACCTTTGTTTCAACTTAAACACTTTGCCATCTAATGAAATATGTTATCTTTCCTTTGGAAATAATGCCTATCCATTCCTTTATTCTCATTTAATATTTTTGTTCACCGTACAAATAAGAGAAATGTGTGATTGCAGTTTGTTTGTCTTGAACTTAAAATGATGAAAAAACAAACACGAAAAATCTCAGTATTACTTTTTAAAAGTTGACAAAGACAGATGAAAAAGATGAGAAAAGCATGACAAGACATTGATGTTGCAGACTTTTGAAGAAGAAAATATTGTTAGAGAAGAATACAATGGACAGCTCTTAAGAATAGATTGGTCATGTGGCAATTGTTGAGAATTCTGATAAAAAAAGTAAAAAAAACGAGAGATTTCGAGAACCTTTTTACTACAATGAATAATTTTAATTGCATTACATGCATTGTATTTAAAGCACTTAGTACATGCATTCATGAATAGTTATAACAAGAATGGAGACTTTTCCTAATGAAAAAAAATAATATTTTGATCTTCAGGGGTGGATAATATTCAAACAAGAGATGTCAAAAGAGAGAATTTTGCTTGTTTAAAGATGAAAAAATCAATTTTGAGAAAAGATGAGAAATTTAAAGTTGTTAAGCCTCTATTGAGAGGAGCTTTTCCAAGATGATGAATTTTAAAGTTGCTGAGCCTTTGCTTAGAAGAGCTTTTCAAGATGATAAATTTTTTAAAGTTATTGAGCCTCTGCTTAGAGGAGCTTTTTTAAGATGAATTTTTAAAGTTGTAAAGCCTCTGCTTAGAGGAGCTTTTTCAAGATGAGATTTTTAAAGTTGTTAAGCCTCTGCTTAAAGAAGCCTTTTCTCAAGATGAATTTTTAAAGTTGTAAAGCCTTTGCTTAGAGGAGCTTTTTCAAGATGGATTTTTAAAGTTATTGAGCTTCTGCTTAGAGGAGTTTTTCCAAGATGATGAATTTTAAAGTTGTTGAGCATCTGCTTAGAAGAGCTTTTTCAAGATGGATTTTTAAAGTTATTGAGCATCTGTTTAGAGGAGCTTTTTCAAGATGAATTTTAAAGTTGTTGAGCCTTTACTTAGATGAGCTTTTTTAAGATGAATTGTTAAAGTTGTGGAGCCTCTGCTTATAGGAGCCCTTTTATATTTTCAAAAGTTATTGAGCCTCTGCTTAGAGGAGCCCTTTTAAATTTTCAAAAGTCGTTGAGCCTCTATTAAGATGAGTTTTTTCAAATTTTCAAAAAAAATCAAATAAAAAATTAAGTATCTGATTAGACTAGCTTTTTTTTCTTTCTAGATAAAATGGTTGTCTGTTTGTCTTTGCCTTATTTTTTATTCTCGAAAATAGGCAAAGAAGGATAGTTGTAGACACCATTTAATTAATTAATTAATTATTATTTTTTGTTCTTCTTTCTTTTTTCTTTTTTCTTCCTTTTGGCAGTTTTTCTATTGACCGTCGATGATCGCACTGCCAGCAGTTCTGACAGTTGCCTGTAGCTACCAATCGCTCTGACAACCATCGGCAGCCATTCTGACAATCGGTGGCCAGCCTAATCATATGCTGGGATTTTGATTTTCCTTTTGCTTTTATAAATAGAGCTGCAAAACACCTTAAAAAAAAGTCCAAAAGCTCTGTAAAAAAATAAAAAATAGATCAATAGGCACTTATTACCAAATTAAAAAAAAAGTTTCCTGTGAAAAGAAAAAGAAGAATCAAACTCCAAAAGAAAAAAACAGTCCCTGAAACGAGAATCACAGCGCCAATTTACAAATAAAAAAATAAAAAATGAAAAAAACCCTTTGACCGAATCTTCTAGGCCAAATTTACGTAGTTTAAGGCCCTTTTTTTGTGAAACTAAGCTCGGATTCGTGTTTAAAGGGTGAAGAGAAGATTCTGAAAAATTTTAGATTTTTTTGGTGACAGACGGCGGTTGGCGACTATCGACGACGAGTGGTGCAACGAAGTAGTCGTCGAATTCTGGGTTCTAGAGAGAGAAGAAGAGAGCCTGAGAGGAAGAGAGAGAAAGAAGAAGAATAAAATTGAAAAGAAATAGTTGATTGGCCCTTAAAATAGGCTTCCAAAACGATGCTTTTTTAACCCCAGAGGATTTACGCGTCTACCCGTAACCCGACTCGAGATCCTCTTATCCGACCCGACTCACCCTTTGACCTCGACCGGTCTAGCTTAACCGATCCAGACCATACCAGACTGACATCGAACTGCTAAATCGAAACCAATTGGATCAGATCAAATCAAACAACTGAACCGGTCCAGACCCGTATCGACCAGACCGTTGACCGGTCCGATTCAGGTAAAAAAATTTTTTTTTTAGTTTTTTTATATATTATTTTAAATTTTATTATTAATATTCATGCATATTAAAATGTTTATATATGTTAGAATAAATTTTTGTTGAAATAAGTAAAATATATGATAAAATATATAATAAAGTTTTTTGATAATTTTGTTAATTTTAGAATAAATCTTATAAATTAATAAAAAAAGGGTAAGAAAAGGAAATTTTTATCCGACGATGAGATTCAAAGTATTCCGAGTAGTGATACCTATGAAATCTCTAAGTGAGAAGATTTTTTTAAATACTACTAGTGTATTGGAGTATTTATAAAATGTTTTCAATATAATAAAAAGTTTTTCTATTAATAATAAATAAAATTAACTAATTTATTGAAAAACAAAGTGATAAAAGAATAGTAATAAAAAATAAGAAAAAAAATTTTATCCAATGATGGGATTCTAAAAATATTTCGAGTAGTGATATTTTACGAAATCCCTAGTTGAGAATGTTTCTTTAAATATTATCAGTGTATTGAAATATTTATAGAAAATCTTCAATATAATAAAAATTTTTCTTTTCTCCAAAACTTTTAAATAATAAAAATCAAATAAAACAATCAATAAAATTTGTAAAAAAGAGAATAAAATACATGCATCAACATATCAGTATTTTGCATTACATGCACAATATAATTTTTACGAAAAGTAAATTTGAGCCTCTAAGGATAAGATTTTAAGGTATTTCGAAAAGTGATGCTTAAAAAATATCTAAGTGAGAAAATGTTCTTCTAATGTTATTAACGTACTGAAACATTTTAAGAATTATTTCGATAAAAAGGTTCTAATTTAATTTTCTCTAATAAAATTTGAGCACTAAAGAATTTCGAATAAATGAAAATTCAAAAAAATTATTTTTCAAACACAAAAAATAAAACTGTTTATATTAAAATCAATGGATAACATATAGTTAATTGGTACTGTTTTAAACGGGAATTGTGGAAGTGTTAATTTTTTCTCACATGTAATCGACTTTCGAACCTAGATCGTTGCATAGACCCTAAAATTATCCTCTTAATAAATTTTAATTAATTTTAAGATTTCATTAAAAGGATATATTTTAATAGGTGATCAATTGCACCTAACAAAAAAAATTAATGACGACTCCGTTATTTTATATTTTATTTTCAAATTCGTCGACAGACATAAAGTTGTTACGGCAATAAGCGTATAAAAAAGTAAAATTTAATTAACTATACTAGTTTGGGAACCAGGGCTACTAGCAATTTACAATGTAGCTAGTTTCTCTAGTCATGTAATTAAGGGCGATATATTTTGGTGCCCATGAACCATAATTTCTACCAATAGAGAAACCAATTTCTTGGAAAGCTGCATCATAGATATATCACAGACCTCATTGCCATCTATCTCTAGTTCATGCACCTGAATTTTGATCTCTTAATGGCCAAGTTTTGGTTAGAATTAGCCCCCAATGGTCCCACTAACCACTTGGTGAATGAATTAATAAATCGTAGTTGACCCGAAATTTCAAACCAAATTTGGCCCACTCACCAAACTGGGCAGACTAAACGCAGACACACTCTCTATGACCTATGACGATACATTATTAAAAAGAAGTCATGGATTATGCTTTTTTTTTTTAAGTAGTCTATGAATTACATCGTTGGTCGTTGATGCAAGACAGGTCTTGACCCTAAAAGCTTTATCAACTCTTAGCATGTATATATAGGGTTGGATTGTTGCTGAAGAATAAAGAGGCTTTGGCCCCAAGGTTTGACAATCCTTAGCTTAATTTAATTTTTGAATTGGGCATGAATAGAACCCATGTGCGTAATTTTTATGGTGGAGCTTTCGGTTAAATGCATATTTTTATGTTAAATAAATATTAAATACAGTAAATAATTAATAAAGACATGCATTAATTTTTTAATGTAAATTTAAAAGATCCAAAGTTTAAATCTTATTATTTACAAAATATTTTTGAATAATTAAATAAAAAATTAACATCCAAAATCGATTCAAAACATGCAGTTTAATACAATTTTTTTTATATAAAATAGGCAATAGCTTATGAGAAAAGAAAAGGAAATTTTGGTTTGAAATCAATATTTTTATTTTTTTAAGAACTCCTTAGCATTACCAATTCGTTGAATTGGTCTTTTTTTAATCAATGGAGAAAATATTTTGAATTTAATGTATTTAATATTAAAATTTAAGTTTTTATTGAATTAAAGTTTTATAATTTTTAATTGTCAAAAAATAAAAAATAATTTTAAATATAAGAAAATAAACATTTTAAATGTTAAAAATATATAATTTTAAAATATTAAAAAAATAAAAAAGGACAGAGGGAATATATTTTTAAGCTGGATGAAGTGGATCTCCAACTTAAAAATTTTTGTCCGAAGATTTAAGTAGAGATCCGCCCGTAGACCTGGGTGATTGTCTGTTCCGTGTATAGATGTAACTTTCCCTACCCATCATTAGTCAATGAATGCTTCTTTCACATTCACATTGAAATATTCAATCTTTTCGTATTCAATTTTAACAAAAAATTTTTATACAAATTATCATAATTTAAATTTTATTATTAAATATTTTATCAATAAATTAACACAACTATTTGGCATAGAAATTTCGCCTTTAAACTTCACATTGACCTCGTCAACTATGAACAAATTCAACACGTTTCGTCTCTGTCAACATTAATGCATCACAAGTTGTAAATTGAAAACTAACAAATTGTTAAGAAAAAAAAGAAATTTCATTGAAGATTGCATATAAAGTTAGCTGTAAAATAGCTAAGACAGCCTCGCACAACCAAATGGATCCTTCATCTCTAAATGTAGAGACTGCCACCTACATGGACGTTGATTTGTACAAAGCTGCCGTTGATGGCAAAATTGAAGCATTTAATGATTACAAAGGCCGTCTTGATCGCATTGTCACCCCAAATCAAAACACAGTCCTCCATGTTTACTTGGCAAACCGAAGGCACAAGGCTAGAGTTTTTCATATCATTTACTTCTTTTATTACAGATACCGAGCTTTGACTTTGAGATCTACCGAATTCGTCGAACACCTTCTTAACCAGTGCCCATCATTGCTACTACAAGCCAATGCAAAAGGTGAAGTTCCGCTGCACATTGAAGCCAGATACGGGCATCGTCCTACTGTGAAATTGCTTTTGGAACGCGCTAAATTTGCTCAACAAGGACACCTAGAGAATGGGATAGAAACGGCCAAGGAAATGCTGAGAACAAGGGATAATAAGGAAGAAAATACTCCTCTGCATATTGCAGCTCGATATGGCCATCTTGAAGTGGTGCGAGCATTAGTCGAAGCGGACCTTGATTTTGTATACCCTGCAAATAAATATGGTGAGACTCCACTTTACATAGCGGCTAGGAGAGGATATCATCATTTGGTGGCTGAGATGTTAACTAAATGCAAATCGGTGGCTCATGCTGGCCCTAAAGGTACGACCACTTTGCATGCGGCGGTCATGGCAAATGATATAGGTAAGTTTACTATTGAATTATTGATCTATTCTTATATTAATTGTTGCATTAATTTTTTGTTTAATATTGTCGAAAATTGAATTTTGCTTACTAAAATTTTAAATTTAACTGATAGACAACATAATTGTTAGCTTAAATACATAAAATATTAAATGATGAATAATATTGCATTCGTTAAAAAGATTTGAGCACAGTAATATATAAAATAAGAAAATATAAAGGGTGGAGTTTTTAATAATTATGCGTTTTTATTGTGGAGATAAAATATTAATTCCAATATTATATTTTATCAATGAGTATACAAAAAAACTCAATACTGTAAATTATTCAGACAAATAATTAAGCGACCGAGGCAAAGTATCATTTTGTTAAATGTACTAGAGCATACTTATATGGGCAAGAATCCCATGAAATAAAAATTAATATGTTTTCAAGATTATGCTAATTAATCATTGACAAGTAATCTAGTTATAATTTTATGTTAAAGTAATCACAGGCAATAAATCTAATAATTTCAGCTTAAAGTACCCGCGGGCTACGACCTAGTCTTCTATCTTGCGCTGGTGCCCACAGCTGAAAAATACACCCAAGTACTTGCAAAGTGCAAGCTACTTTTCCTCGATCGACCTCCAGACCAGACTACTCATGTAGCTGTCAATTTTGTAACCCAGAATTATTCCTCTATTTTGTTGTTAAAAAATACAAGATGGCCATCTATGGTGCAGGCCATATACTATAGCATGCTGCCAATGCAATGGTATATGATTTTCAGCCACATCAAACTATGGCAATCTACCTTCTCGTGTTTATATCTGATCTGATGGCCTTCAAGTGCTAGCTGTTAGGCTAAAAGCTTCCAATCCAATTACATCAGTAGAAACGAAATCAAATAATAAATCAAACACACAAGAGAAAATAATTTAACGTGGTTCAGTCCAATCAACCTACATCCACGGATGAGAAACAAGATCCACTAGTTATAGAAAATTACAAACATACATCAAATCATCAACCTCACTCAACAATTAATACTCATAAGACACTCTCAATCTCTTCAAGTCCTATGAAGTATTCTCAACTCAAACAAATACAAATTCAAACCCTTGTGCATTCTTTCACATAACCAAACACATACACATATGCTCCCATACATTATACTTATGTGAACCCTCTCAGTCTCCTTTAGTCCACTCACAAATAAACATACACATCCATAAGACGTAAGCCTCAATACTCCTATGAGGTGTTTATCCCACAAAACATTACAACTCTTTTACATCTTTTTCTCATAGCTAACTCTATAGAGACTTCACCTATTTATAATCATACAAACTTGCCCATTAAGAATCCCTCTCCTCTTAGAATTTTTTTTCTGTAAGTCAAATTTGCTTATTAAGAATCCCTTTCCTTTTAGAATTCTTCTTTTGCAAGTCAAACTTACCTATTAAGAATCTTCTTTATCTTAGAATTTTTTTTTTGTAAGTCTTTTTGTCCATCAAGCAATATCTGACAAATCTCAAATAAATATCTAACAAATCCCAAATAAATCTCTTATAGGATTTGAGTCAATATTCCCAACAATCTCCACATTAACTTAAATTTCATCAATCATCTGTCTTCATGCTAGATATGCTTGGCTCCACTTGTAATAAAAGTCTCACAATCATTTTCTCTTATGTGTCTTAACGCTTCATACAAACAGATCTTCAATCTTCAAAACTTGAACCCAAACTCTTCTTTTGAATCGAGCTCCTCTAAGCTTACTTTTGCCCATGTCTCAAACCAATCTCTTCCCATATCTTGAACTCTCAACTCTTCTCATGTCTCGAATCATCAGCTCTTCCCACATCTCGTACATTTGACTTTTTTCACGTTTCAAACTTTTAGCTTTGATACCACTTGTTGGGGAACACCATAGCTTTGATACCATTTGTTGGGCTAAAAGCCTCCAATCCAATCACACCAGCGAAAGCGAAATCAAACAATAAATTAAACATACAAGAGACAATAATTTAACGTGGTTCGGTCCAATCAACCTACGTTCACGGATGAAAAAAAAGATCCACTAGTTGTAAAAAATTACAAACATATAACAAATCATTAACGTCACTCAACAATTAATACTTATAAGACACTCTCAATCTCCTCTAGTCCTATTGAGTATTTTCAACTCAAACAAATACAAACTCAAACCCTTGTGCACTCTTTCAACATAACCAAACACATACTTATATGCTCCCATACATCATACCTATGTAGACCCTCTCAGTCTCCTCTAATCCACTCATAAATAAACATACACACCCATAAGACGTAGAGCCTCAATACACCTATAGGGTGTCTATCCTATAAAACCCTATAACTTTCTTACATCTTTTTTTCATATCTAACCCTGTAGAGACTTCACCTATTTATAACCATACAAATTTGCCCATTAAAAATCTCTCTCCTCTTAGAATTCTTCTTTTGTAAGTCAAACTTACCTATTAAGAATCTTTTTTCTTTTAGAATTCTTCTTTTGCAAGTCTAACTTACCTATTAAGAATCTTCTTTATCTTAGAATTCTTTTTTTACAAGTCTCTTTGTCCATCAAGCAATATCTGACAAATCTCAAATAAATCTCTACCAAATCACAAATAAATCTCTTATTTAATTTGAGTCAATATTTCCAACAATCTCCATCTTGACTCAAATTTCATCAATCATCTGTCTTCATGCTAGATATGCTTGGCTCCATCTGCAGTAAAAATCTTACAATCATCTTCTCTTATGTGTCTTAACACTTCATATTGATCTTCAATCCTCAAAACTTAAACTCAAACTCTTCTCTTGAATTGAGCCCCTTTAAGCTTACTTCTTCTCATGTCTCAAACAAAGCTCTTCCCATATCTCAAACTGTCAACTCTTCCCATGTCTCGAATCATCAACTTTTTTCACATCTCGAACATTTGACTCTTCTCACGTTTCAAACTTTTAGCTTTGATAACACTTGTTGGGGAACGCCACAGCTTTGATACCATTTGTTGGGCTAAAAGCCTCTAATTTAATCACACTAACGGAAGTGAAATCAAATAATAAATCAAACACATAAGAGATAATAATTTAATGTGCTTTGGTCCAATCAACCTACGTTTACGGATGAGAAACAAGATCTACTAGTTATAGAAAATTACAAATATACATCAAATCATCAACCTCACTCAACAATTAATACTCATAAGACACTATCAATCTCTTCTAGTCCTATAAAGTATTCTCAACTCAAACAAACACAAACCCAAACTTTTGTGCACTCTTTCAACATAACCAAACACATACCCATATGCTCCCATATATCATAAGTATGTAGACCCTCTCAGTCTCCTCTAATCCACTCACAAACAAACATACACACCCATAAGACATAGAGCCTCAATACTCCATGAGATGTCTATCCCACAAAATCTTATAACTCTCTTACATCTTTTTCTCATACCTAACCCTGTAGAGATTTTACCTATTTATAACCATACAAACTTGCCCATTAAAAATCTTTCTCCTCTTAAAATCTTTCTCTTCATGTAAGTCAAACTTACCTATTAAGAATCTCTTTTCATTTAGAATTCTTCTTTTGTAAGTCAAACTTACCTACTAAGAATTCTCTTTATCTTAAAATTCTTCTTTTATAAGTCTTCTTGTCCATCAAGCAATATCTAACAAATCTTAAACAAATCTTTAACAAATCCCAAACAAATCTCTTATAGGATTTGAGTCAATATTCTCAACAATCTTCATATTGACTCAAATTTCATCAATCATCTGTCTTCATGCTAGATATGTTTGGCTCCACCTGAAATAAAAGTCTCACAATCATCTTCTCTTATGTGTCTTAACACTTCATACAAACTGATCTTCAATCCTCAAAACTTGAACTCAAACTCTTCTCTTGAATTGAGCTCCTCTAAGCTTACTTCTTCCTATGTCTCAAACCAATCTCTTCTCATATCTCGAACTATCAACTCTTTTCATGTCTCGAATCATCAGCTCTTTCGATATCTCGAACATTTAACTTTTCTCATGTTTTAAACTTTTAGCTTTGATATCACTTGTTAGGGAACACCACAGCTCTGATACCATTTGTTGGGCTAAAAACCTCCAATCCAATCATACTAGTGAAAGTGAAATCAAACAATAAATCAAACACACAAGAGATAATAATTTAACGTGGTTCGATCCAATCAATCTATGTTCACAGATGAGAAACAAGATCCACTAGTTATAAAAAATTACAAATATACATCAAATCATCAACCTCACTCAACAATTAATACTCATAAGACACTGTCAATCTCCTCTAGTCCTATGGAGTATTCTCAACTCAAACAAACACAAACTCAAACCTTTATGCACTCTTTCAATATAACCAAATACATACCCATATGCTCCCATATATCATACCTTTGTAGACCCTCTCAGTCTCCTCTAGTCCACTCATAAATAAGCATACACACCCATAAGACATAGAGCTCCAATACTCCTATGTGGTGTCTATCCCACAAAATATTATAACTCTTTTACATATTTTTCTCATACATAACCCTATAGAGACTTTACCTATTTATAACCATAAAAACCTGCCCATTAAGAATCCCTTTCCTCTTAGAATTCTTCTCTTGTAAGTCAAATTTACCTATTAAGAATCTTTTTCCTTTTAAAATTCTTCTTTTGCAAGTCAAACTTACCTATTAAGAATCCTCTTTATCTTAGAATTCTTCTTTTACAAGTCTTCTTGTCCATCAAGCAATATCTGACAAATCTCAAACAAATCTCTCACAAATCTCAAATAAATCTCTTATAAGATTTGAGTTAATATTTCCAACAATCTCCACCTTGACTCAAATTTCATCAATCATATGTCTTCATGCTAGATATGCTTAGCTTCACCTACAATAAAAGTCTCACAATCATCTTCTCTTATGTGTCTTAACGCTTCATACAAACTGATCTTTAATCCTTAAAACTTGAACTCAAAGTTTTCTTTTGAATCGAGCTCCTCTAAGCTTACTTCTTCTCATGTCTTAAACCAAGCTCTTCTCATATCTCAAACTGTCAACTCTTTTCATGTCTTGAATCATCATCTCTTCCCACATCTCGAACATTTGACTCTTCTCACGTTTCAAACTTTTAGCTTTGATACCACTTGTTGAGAAACACCACAGCTCTGATACCATTTGTTGGGCTAAAAGCCTCAAATCCAATCACACTAGCGAAAGCGAAATCAAACAATAAATCAAACACACAAAAAATAATAATTTAACATGGTTCGATCCAATCAACCTACGTCCACAGATGAGAAATAAGATCCACTAGTTATAAAAAATTACAAACATATATCAAATCATCAATCTTACTCAACAATTAATACTCATAAGACACTCTCAATCTCCTCTAATCTTATGGAATATTCTTAACTCAAATAAACATAAACCCAAACCTTGTGCACTCTTTCAACATAACCAAACACATACCCATATGCTCTCATTTATCATACTTGTGTGGACCCTCTCAGTCTACTCTAGTCCACTCAGAAACAAACATACACGCCCATAAGACGTAGAGTCTCAATACTCCTATGAGGTCTCTATCCCATAAA